TTTGGGGAGGACTCTTGCTCTGAGACCAAGGCAGAGAGTAGGCCAGAGTATGGGGGCTCTGTGGTGGACATTTCCTTCTCCCAAACCCATGGGTCAGATGAGCTGTGTTTTCCCCCAGTCCCTTCCCGAGGAGACATGAATAAGGAGTGAAAAACACAGAGGGTCACTCTGGAAAAACTAAGAAGTGGGGAACAATGTAGGAGACACTAAACTGTATCCTAAAGCCCTGGCAAATCTGAGCACCACTGTCAGTCTGTCTGGGACCTGTGTTTCCAGCTTATTCATCCTTCTTTATGATCCCTCTGTTCTAATAGCCTCTTACCCCAGGGCCTTTGTTCATGCTATGGTCCTGCCTGGAGGATCCCTCCTTTTTATCTCTGTTGGAAGCCCCCTCTACCCCCTTCAGAGTCCACAACTAATGCCACATTCTTCAGGAAGTTTCCCTCAAGCCCAGCACACCAACTCCATCTCTCTTTGCTCTGTGTTGCCACGGCAGTTCGCTTATGTCATATACAGCACCTTCTCATTATTTACAGAGAGCCACTGTTGGTGTCTGGGGGGAAATGACAAGAGGGAGGACTGCGTGAAAGGAAGGAGGACAGCTGGGAGGGGAGGGAAGAGGAGATCAAGGCCGGGCTGCCTTTGTGGTCTGGCCTGGCGTGGCTGCCCCCTTCAGACCAGACATCATTCTGTGGTCCCAACCGGTCTCACCATGCCCTACATTGCCACCACCAGGTCTATCGCACTTAATTACATTAGCTGCTTGACCCATATGACCTGTGTTCTATGGTCTCCGTGGGACGTGGCTGAGTCCACACTGCCTGAAATTCTCTCAAGGTAGAGAAAGGCTCCCCTGTGGATCAGCCAAAGCCTTGCAAATACTGTCATTAGTCTTTCTGTAACTTTTTCCCTGAGGCTCCACTCCCATCTCTTGGGATTATCTCTACAGATTACACAGACTGTCTCTTGCCCCTGACAGGCCCTCTGACATCAATCAGGCGAGCCGCCACTGCTTCAATCTCCTTTCAGTAGTAAGCACTCTGTAACCATCAGCTGCTTTCATGAATGATGTTAATAATGTTATGACTGATTGTGAAATACAAGCTATGCACATTTAGCAAATGAAATAGCCTGGGTCAGCAAAGGGAAAGCAGAGTGGCAGAATTTTATGGGCATTTTGGAAACTGTTAGACCAGGGATAACAATCAGCTTCATGTGCTCACTGACAAATGGAGAGCGGCTGCTTGGAGGATGGTGCTGATTCTCAGCCTGAGTCAGGGACCCTGGGAAAGGATTCTGAGATGGATTAGTGATGTCAGCCAAGAAGAGGAAGGAGGAGATAGTGGAGAATTGTCAGTCATTTGCCATCTCTGATTTTACCCAACTTCAAAGGCCCACAGAGGTGGAAAAATCACACATGGAATAATGAAGTATGGAATCTAGAATTCCTGACTCTACTGGAGTTTTCTCCCTTCTGACCAAGCTGCCTCACTGCTGTTGGTACTTTCAAGGTCAACAAAATGCTTATCAAAATTTTAGTGATTTGGGTTTCTTTTTGTTCCCTTATTTCCTTGTCTACTGCCTATCTTAGTGATCCCCTCCAAAGGCTGCCTTTTACCTCAATCTGTCTATGTATCTCTTTTCCTAGTTCAATAGGAACAAATCAACCCACTTCTTCCACTGCCATTCTTTTTGGAAAAGTACAATAATCAGTCTTTAACGAGCTTGTGACTCTGAACCGAGGTATAATAATTTTGGTGACTCTGCAGCTTCTGTTGATAGAAATATATTTATTTTAGAAGCTGATGACCTGTGGGAAGACAATTATTCTAAATATCATGATGAGGTCATGGGAGCTGGTGGAGGGGTTGGGAGGAGGAGAGAGGCAGAGAACCAGTGAATATTAAAATTGCATATATATGAAAATAGACTTATTTCTATTCTGAGCAAGAAACTGTGGTTTTGTGATTCTTTGGTGGTGTTGAGCAAAATGTACACTGATGGGAGAAGAAGTTTCTTGAGGCTGGCTCAGCCCTTTGCCTGGGGGTTCCATTTGATGCCACAAGGATGGTAGCTGAGGATAACCATAAATGGCCTTAGGCCTCGGATGGAGGACTAGAGGGTGATAGGAGTGGGGAATGGGATGGTCAGTGGTCATGTGTCACATCTTTGTAGGATCTTAGACATGTTTCTGCACTGAAATTTTACATAAAGTACTACATGTTATATAAAAGCAAGAGAAGCAAAAAAAAAAAAAACCCTAATAAATCAACAAAAATAGGCAGACACCCATAATCCCAGTCCTCAGTCATTACCACTAAGGGGATATACATGTGTCTACATACATATAGTGCAGATGCATAAAGATACATACACACACTTATAAATGTATACATATGTGTTTTGTAAGATGGAAATCTTAATAGACTTATGCTTTAACCTAATTTTTTTACTTTACAGTATGTCGTCATCATCTTCCTTGGTCAACAAATACAGACTGGTGATGTCATGTTGGACAACCATTGATTGCCTTCCAAACAGCCATTCTTGCCTTCTTGTTTCTTAACCAAATGCAGAATTTCCAAGCCAAGTGGTTTGGATGAGTCATCCTTGCCCAGCTCCAGCACAGACTTTGATTAAATGGACCCAATCAGCTTATATTATTACCTAGACTTTAGTGATTAGTTCAGGGATAGACACTTGACCTAGTTTGGATCCAAGAGGGGACATTTCCTGAGAACATTTAAGACAGAAATTTCTTTCTCTGTTTGGGTTTTTTTTCTGGTATAGATACTCTCTCTTAGCTTGGGGTGGGATGGCATAGGAAGGTGGGAAGGTGGGATAAGCTATCCGGTGGTTACTGTTAGTAATGGGATGGGGGGAGGTCTCTGAGACTGAAACTATGCAGAGTAGAGTCAAGAGTATGACAGAAAATGTGAATCAATGCTGTTTGTGTTTTTAGTATTTTTTGGAAGATACAGTTGTTTCATCAAATATGTTACTTTTGGGCCTCTCTGGTGCCTAGGGGTTAAATTTCAGCACTATCACCGCCTCGGCCTGAGTTTGATCCCCGGCCAGGAAGCTGACCCACATATAATGCAGTAGACCTCTCCTGTCTCGCCCAGTGCTCCCCTTAGCAGTGCATTTCAGTCAGTCTGCCTGTTGTGTACCCCACTCTGTCTCTGGTGAATCATCTCACCCTCCACACCTCTGGCCTACACCCCAGTTCTTCTATATATACACATACATGAAATATGTTGCTTATGCTAACATATAAGGTATTCATTATTTTTGAAAATAAATTTATAAATAATTTAAATTGTCTCTCACTTTTCATTTTGAATACAGTAGTCATGAGTAGACATAACCTACTTAAACAAAAGTTGTCTTGGTCCTCAGTATTTTTAAAAGTGCAAAAAGTATTCTGAGAACATAAAGTATGAAAATTGTTGGGAAAAGCATATATGTGATTTTCAATTAAACTTCTTCACAAAGATTCACTCAATCAAGTCTAGTTTTCCATTTGCTTTCCGACACCTTAACTCCAAGCACAAAATACAATGTGAGCTGGAGACTTACTGTTAATGGATAATATTATCCATACAGTTTTAACCAATTTCTACAACTTTGGCCAAAAGTTTCCATTGGCATCAAATGAATTGCAATCTATTTTGACCAAATAGATCAGAAACTGAACAACTCTGTTCATTACTTAGTAGTATAGATAAAGTCACTAGAGTTTTATGTTGTGGGAGGTGTCACTGTTATGAACACTACACATATTGGGGTTTCTGGTGGCAAGAAACAGAAAGCAGTGGGCAGTGAAGGAATTTACTGAAAGCATGCTGTGAGTGCTCAAAATTATTAGGGGAAATGAAGAACCATGATCAAAGCTTGAAATGCTAAGCCAAGCAATGAAAACATCACTCCACAAAACTGGAAAGATAGGTGGGAGGAGTACGTCCCTGCCATTGTCCCACCAAGCCCTTAAGGAAACCACCTCCACCACTATGTCACGGTCTCAATTTTGCAAATACTGCCACCCCTAAAAGTCAGATTCCTCGTCCTTGCCAGCAAAATGGGTCTCCTGGAATCTTGCCTTGACTTATTCTCTTTGGAATCAAAGCTTACAGAAGTGTGTACATTGGCAGAACCTGAGACACATGTCTTCTTCCAAGTTGCAAGAAAGATTGGAATTTGATTTGAAATTCTGGGTTCTACCATCAACAGTTGGGGTGTACAGGACTGAAATTAGCCCAACTATATCAAGGGCATTTATTTTATTTTCTTTTTAAGATTTATTTATTTATTTATTTATTTATTTATTTATACAAGCACAGGGTACAGTCAGAAGCACGGGAGGGTGAAAGAATTCACCAGAGCCAGAGTGGAGAGCAAAATAGGCAGACTGATGAAGTACACTGCTGAGGGGAGCAGCAGGCATGGCAGGAGAGGTCTGTGCACCATGTCGTACCCTTGCTGGTGGCCGGGGATCAAACCAGTGCTACAGAGGCTGCGGGCAACTTCGCAGCCCAGCGCTAAACCGCTGCGCCAGTGGGGAGGCCCTATGAAGGGCATTTAACAGAAGCTGAGAAGTCAGAGAATATGACTGATGCCTGTAACACATAGTTTAGAAAGTTATAGAGTCATGGTTATGAGGAAGGTTCAAGGAATAGGCAGATCTGGGTCTGAATTCTGCCTCTGTTGCTGCTACTAGCCCTAAGACCTCAGGCAAGTCACTTCAACTCTCAGAGCCTTGGTGAGGACCTCTGATGTAGCTATGATGATTAAGTTAATTTTCCTGGATGCAATAACATATAATATGTACACCTAATAGGCCCCCAATAAATGGTAGCCATTCATAATACCAATCTTCAGAATCTGCAATAGACAGATACTTTAACTGCCTAAGTTTTTAGGGAAACTAAGGCACATGGAGAACAAGGAACTTGTTTAGAATTTCAATACCAGCTAACATGAGGATGTGCTTCTGAACTCACTGATTCTGGGTCCAACCGCTGTCCCTATTCTTGAGTCCATCTTGAGTTCTTGAGTTCATCTTGTGTTCTTGAGTTCTTGTGCATTCAAGAGATGGAAGAAATCATAAAAATCTCATATTAGCTATTTATTTGGTGAGTGGAATATTTGAGGTGAGATCTACTTTTGTGTTGTTTGAAAATATTAACAAGTATATAGCATTAAAAATAATTTTAAATAGCAGTAAAACCACTTTCAATTGAGAGAACTAACTTCTGACTCTGTTTGGGTTCTCCTCAAAGATAAGCCTGAGGATTTAGGGTCATTTATGTAGAAGATGACAAAGTCTAAGTTCTGGTTTTTGAATGCTTTGGAGGTGTTATTCCAGATGCACATTCCCAAATGTGGGTCAATGATGAAGAGAGTGTTAATGGGGTTACCCAAATAGCAGGGTTCTATGGTGAAATGAGTGTGGGAGATGCCGGGACAAAGACTTTACTGCATGATGTCTTAGGGTCTTTGCCCTGCTGATGCACACTGAAAGTCTCTGCCAGGGATTCAGCACTGGTCCCCACGTCATCCCAAGAGGGCTTTGTAGGAAATGCTCTTGTGAGAATTTTAGGAAGTATTGGATGATATCAGAAGTTACATCAAGCTATAAAATTAGTAATTTTTCTGATTTCATTTCATCCTTCCCCCAAATCAGCAAGAAGAGGCACAGTGGTCAAAATCACTCATCAAAGCCAAGAAGCCAGTGATAGGCAGAACTGGAATTCAAACTCAGATCTTCTAAGTCATTTTTTCCTTTACCAAACATAAGGTTCAAGGAGGCAGGCTTCACAAATTGAATTGTGCCCTTTCCCCAAAGATATTTCAAAAATATAAGCCCCAGTGTGGCCTCATTTGGAAACAAAACCTTTACATGGGTATCCTGGTAAAGATGGGGTCTCAGAGTCCCAAAAGACTGTGTCCTTAGAAGAAGGGGACATCTGGGCACAGAGGCTGGTGAGAGAAGAAACAGGGAGAAGGTCATGTGGAAGAGGCAGAGACTGGAGGTCTGGCATCACCAGAGGCAGGAAGAGGTCAGGAAACTCTCTTACAGTTTCGAAGGGAACATGGCGTTGTCACCTCCTTGACTTTGGACTTCTAGCCCTCAGAACTAGAAACAATAAATATCCATTGCTCTAAACCTTCCAGTTTGTGGCATTTAGCTCTCATGCCCCACCCCTAACCATCCCTTATATCTCCTTTGACTGTTTACCCTCCCTCTCACGCTTAACCTTCAGAACTTGACTTCCTTTATTAACGTTTGTGGGTTTTATAAGTATTTTACTTTATTGAATTGTCTGCTATATAAATGTCCAGTATTTGTCTTTGTCATCTGACTTGCTTAGCTATACATAATTCCCTCAAACTCTTTCCATTTTGCTGTAAATGACATTTCCTTTATCCTTTTGGCTGAGTGCTATTCCACAGTGTGGACAGATCTTTTTGGCCCAGTCTTCTATTGATGGGCACTGATGTTGCTTCCATGGCCAAAATATTGTAAAAAATCATTCCGCAATAAACATTATGAAGCTTATAGTTTTTTGAGTTGATGGTTTCATGTTCTTTGGGTAAATGCCCAAGAGTGAGTTTGTTGGATCTTATGGTATTTCCATTTTTTATTAAGGTAAATTCAGATTGCTTTTGCTAATGGCTGGGTAATAAGACTCCTTTCTCTATATATCCTCTCCAACACTTGTTGTTGCAAGTCTTAATACGTGCCATTCTCAGGGGTCTGAGATGATATCACACTGTGCTTTTAACCTGCATCTCCCTTAGCAGGAGGGATGATGAACATTTATCCCTGGGGTGCCACATACTACACCATAGTATGTGTAGGCATTTTGCGTGTCCTCTTTCATGAATTGTTCATTTAGATCTGCTGCCAGTTTGCACCTTTGTGGAACATTTCCAGGAAGCAATTCCAGTGCGTGTGACAACATCTTGGAGCGTGGCTTACAGGCTGATTTTCAGTCATTCCTGTGTCTGAGCTGGAACATTGCTGTGCATAACTTTCCACAGGGAAGGCTTTCAGCCCAGCTCAGCAAAGACAGCACTTCTGAGGCTGAGGGGAGCTCAGATCCCATTTTGTTACCTCAGCAGCAGATGAGAGAAGGTAGAGGCTCATAATCCTTTTTAAAACAATCAGAGGCCCTCCCAGGTCCACGTTCCACTGGGCTGGGCAGGGCTGCTTCCTTGGGCTGGGCTGAGCACTGTGGAATGTGACCTCTCTCTGCGGAAAGAGCCAAAAGCTTTTGGCTTGCCAGAAGGAGCTGGAGGTGAGGAGCTGCCTGGCACAGATACCTGTTGCTGGAGTCTATTTGTGGGGACTCCCTCGGCTCCTGCTGCCTCCAGACAGGGCTCATGTCTCTGCCTGTATGCATCCTTTCTGCATTGCAATCAGGCCTGACTACCTGACTCTCACAGGTAATTGAGGTGTCAGGGGCTCACAAACTGATCAAATCCCCTCACCATCTCTATTCAATAGGCAGGCACCCATATTTGACTAATATGCAAGTGGAGGCCCTCACAGATGAATGGACTTTCCCAGAGTCACAGGACTAATTCAAAGCAGGGGTGGGACTCCCCTCAAAAGGAGGTGCCTGTGGGAAGAACTGGATGTTCACCTGAGGAAACACAGGTGGGAGGCCGGGGGACCAGAGGGGCAGAGGAAGGGGTGGCATCCCAGGGAATTGCTGAAAAATGGGAGGCTGGGGGGCCAAAGGGTCCTGGCTTTGGAGTCAGACACAGGTTTGGACCTAGGTTCTGTCAAACTGTAGCTGGGTGTCTGGGCCTCTGTTAAACAAAGAAAATCTGTGCACCCACATCGTCAGGTTGCTATGATCATCAGATGGGGCGCATCTGTTTAACGTGGTGCCACTACGCAAGGACCTGTCCATGAAGCACAGGTTATGTGGCAGTGTCTTTCACGGCCTCTACTGTCCTGTGCCTGGAGCCGACCTGGTGAACTGGGTCCTTCCATGCTGGGCAGGCTCCATTTGGAGAGAAAACCACCACCACGACGGAGGGACCTGGGGTGGCCCCTGGCCAGGAAAGACTCTCACTGCACATGGGAGCTGGAGAGTTGAGGAGAGTCAAGTTGCAGAGGCTATTTCTGCAGCTCACTCTGAGAGCCCAGGACAAAATAGAACAAAAGCAAACTAAACCTGGTTTGGAGCTTCCAAACTGCTCTCAAGCCCTGCCAAGCCTGGATCTGTCTTCTGAGCACTGACACTGCTCCAGCCCTCCAACTCTCCTTTCAGAGGCCAGGGGCACTGACCTTCTGGGGGTGAGAACCTGTCTTGAGCAATGTAGCAGCTGCTGGACTATGCTTGCTCCCCCAGGGAGCCTCCTGGCCCATACCCCTCATGCTGAGCTGCACCAAACAGTGAAGAAATGGGGTTGGGACAAAATGTAGGGTCAAAGGTCAGCTTGTTGAAGGTGAATATTAACCCCAGAGCCCCTCGGGTATTGAATAAAAGGGAGCGCCCTAGGACTCTTCACTCTTTTCATGTAGAAATGACTTTTTCTTGCCTAGATTTTACATTGACACTCCCTGCCTAAAGTCATCCATAGCTCCCTACTGTTCACACCCTATAGAATGAAGTTAAAATTCCTTAGGTTGCCATTCAAGGCCCATGAAGATGTGGCTTTGGTCTCCCTCTCGAGCCTGTCCTCTGTTAGGTACCAAGGAATCCACCCTCTAGCTATACCCAGGACTTGCAGTGTCTCAATGCACTCAGGAGGTCCACACCACCATGTCTTTGCTTGTGCCGTAGGAAGACTGTTGCAGTGGAGATGTGGTAGTTTCTTGCTACAGATCTCTTGAACCAAATCATGCTTTATGTTTCCTGCTTGTCATTTTAAAAAAAAAAACAATAGAAATAAAGACATAAAATGGCTATGAAAAGTCTACCTTAAACAGATATGACCAAAATAAATTCCCAATGTTGCCTGTTCCATCTCAAGCCAGGACTGCAGGAGGTTGGTTATGGCATTATAAAGAGCAAACTGGAGTATTGTCCTGCCCTTTATGGGGGTGAGTGACCCCGGAAAGGAAGTTTCCACCCATTGCTAGGATCCTCTTTGCTCCTCCACTCTGGGTGACTTAGGTAGAGAATAGGGAAGAGCTGGGGTACATGAAAAATGCCTGATCTGCCGGAGACTATGGAGGCAACGTATGTTTTTAGACAGCACTTGTCATTCCTCTCTTGGAAGCCAGTGCATGCTACCCGATTGGTGGCTAAAACACTTTGGATATAGGGTCCCTGGGTTAAGACAATGTCCACCCTGTAGCCTTATGGTGTTGGCTATAGTAGGGGATATATCCATTTTATCTGGGGGCATTTTTGCAAGCAGGGACATTTGGCAATGTCCAGTGTTCTGGACCATCTCATGACACAGCTCAACTGGGGCCTCAGAGAGCTCTTCCTGTCGTTTTTATCATAGTCACTATCCATGATAACGGCTCTCTTTAATACTCTCCATAGCTCTTAACAATATCTGAAATGATCTTAGGTATTTGTGTCTTGGACACCCCACCTCCCAGCACCCGGGGCAGTGTGCACAGTGGGAAACTTATCCTTTGTGGACAAAGGTATGATCAGAGCCTGTGTCCTTCCTGCTCACCCTCACCTGCTCACCCTTCACTCCCTGTCTCCATTTTACCTCTAGCTCATCCCATCTAACGCCATCTTTTTTTTGACTCCTCCTGACACTTTATCACTCTGCTAGACTCTACCATCCTCTGAGGTGTGTTTGGGCTCTGAGAGCCCACTGTCACCTCCTGGAGGACAAGGCCTGTCCTCTACACCTGGTTGTGCTCCCTGGCCTCTTCCCGCCATCCACACTGTGTGTACAGAGGGCTCTGGAGATGTTAGTTCACGGCCGTAGCAGTGAATTCCACTTTGATAGCCTCCCTAGTGTGCACAGGGAGTGCTTTCTCCTCAGACATGTTGGAGATAGAGACACAGTTTTAAGCAAACTTGATTTCACACTTAGTGCATTCTCCAGGACCAGCACTGTTAAGGCAAGAGACTGTTGAGTAAGGCTATTGTTCCAGTGACCCTAAGTGTAAATTCTCATCAGAATCAGAGAGAATGTGAAAGGGTGATGGAGGGCTGTGAAAGTTGCAGAATTCCTTGCTCTCAATGCAATGTGGTTTCTGATTTCATTCAATGGCTTATCTAAGCTAGACCTGAACAATGTTCTGAGAGTCCTTTGACTATAATAATTCACCTAAGAACTGAGAGCATTAAATTCAAAAGAGCTAGAGCTGAAAGGGACCCGAGATGTTTGCCTGACTTTCTTTAGTAAGCGATGAGAAATGCAAGGCTCTAGGGAGTTGTATTCAATGTCACACAGGTGATATCTAGGCCAACGTGGAGTGCCTGGGCTAGTCTCCTAACCCTTTAGTGATGTTTCCATCCCCAGATGAGTCCCTTCATCCCAGTGGCTCCTCTGCTCCTGTCACAACACAGGCTTCCTGAAAACTGCAGGTTTCCATCCTCTCTGCACCCTGGCTGGCAGAGAGGGTCCTGTCTCCATAGCCTGGTTTTGAGAACATCAGGAAATTACCCCCTTTTCCTCCTGCCCCAGTCCCCCTCCGTGGCCATATATCACACCATTACAGACAAGCTATTACATGTCAGCACATGACTTGTCTTTGGATGACAAGCTCCAAGCTTAAGTGCCTATGTAACACTGCAGGCCAGCTGGCCCCGGGGTGGGATGGGGCAGGGAGCTCTGGGGGACTGGACCATGCCCTTTGGACAGGTCATGTCCAAAGGGCAGCTGAGAGGGCCTCCCCTGGTAGCACAGTGGTTGAGCGCTGGGCTGCGAAGCTGCCCACAGCCTCTGCAGTGCCGGTTCGATCCCCGGCCACTGGCAAGGGTCCCACATGGCGCGCAGACCTCTCCTGCCGTGTCCGCTGCTCCCCTCAGCAGTGCATTTCTGTTCTGTTCTGTTCTGTTCCCTGCTCTGACTCTGGTGAATTCTCTCACCCTCTCGCACTTCTGACTGTATCCAGTGCTTGCATAAATAAATAAATAAATCTTTAAAAAAAAAAAACAAAAGCAAAGTGCAGCTGAGGATGTATTCCAGTGGAGGTGCCACCTTTTCCATGTTTTTAAAAGAAGTCAAGAAACACTTTTTTTTTTTTTCATTTGAACTCTTTTGAATTTTTAAGCATTGGCAACAAAAACGCAACAACAAAATTAAAGTACTATCTGGCCCCTGAACAAAACAAAAAAGTCCCAGGCACCAAATTTAAGGAGATTCTCACTCTCGGGGCTGACTTTGAACTTGCACCTGGAGCACTGGGGGTAGGTAGGGGACATGAAGGGAGTGAAGCTATGAATCAGGGGGACCACAGCTACCACTTAGACTGAGGGGAGAAGCCCCAGCAAGTGGCCATATGCAATGCGGGAAGGCTGTCGAGGGCCTGTTTTGCAGGTGGTTCATTGTGACTGCCATGCCATGGAGGGATCTGGACAGTGTGTCTTGTGCTTATAGGGTCATTGTTTGCTTCCCCGATACTGCCACACCCTCTGGAAGTCTTGACTCAGTCCTGTCCTGAGTGACCTCAGTGGAAAGTGTGAGAACACAAGGCCCAGCAGTTGTTTTTATCTCCAAACCCCGCGAGGAAAACAGTGATGGACCCTGTGCCTGGGTCCTGGGTCTCAGCCTTGCTGACTGTTCAGGAGTTCTCCGGAGCCGCTGGGGGACCATTGGCGGAGGGTGGGGCTAACCCATTTCGAGCCTGGCCTTTGGGACAAGGCAGACTTGTTGCCTTGAGGCACCATCCTCCTTAACTGTGACTAGGAGGAGGCTGGACCTTTGAGAACTCAGCCTCCCTGCCTCCTGAGCAGGAACCTGGAGGAGCAGGACTCTGAGCAACTCCTCCTGCTGCCTCTCTGGCTCTGCAGCCAAATGCCTGCGGTTTCAGCTCAGAACTCAGGACAGCTGGGTTTGTTTTGGTGTTCAAACAGGGGGTGGCGGGGAGGAACCCAGTTTTAACAGTGAAAAAATAAATTGTTTTCAAGAAAGGGAGAAGGCTTCCAGCGGAAGCCCTGAAAAGCCATAACTCGGCCTGCTCCACCCAATGTCAGGGAATCAGCCCCCAACAGAAGCCAGCAGTTAGCAAGTTGCCCTGGGCAAATGAACAAACGGTGTGTGGGAACAACTGCCCCCAAAATGCCCAGAGGGTCCCTGGAGGTCTCTAGCCACCCCATCACCCTTCAAATCTGCAGTGCTTCTGGGCCTCCAAACCCCATGGGGGCAGCTGAGGGAGGGAGGACCCTGGGGGATAGGAGAGATGTGACAGCTGTCTGCCAACATCGGATACTGGAGATGCCATCAACTGGAAATGGGAGAAAACAGACTTTTCTGGGACCCCAGACTTATAATTAGGACCAGAGGTGGCACTAAGGAGACACATCTTCCTGTTAATATCAGCACAGCAGCAGCACCACCACCACCACCACCAAAGTCAGTCTTTTGAAACATAATCAAGGATGCCAGCCAGTTGTGTCTGGTCTTAGTTACCTCCTCAGAGAAGGCTTCCATGACCTCCTCCCCTTCTCCCCTGTCTCAACTTGACATCACACCCCCAGCCCCCACTTACTCTGTGCCATCAGTCTGGTTTTTTGCCTCATACTTATCAGAGCTAACAGACATCAAGCCTGCTGCCTGCTCCCTTCTTTTGTTTCCAGCAGGCTAGGTGATAAGCTTCGTGAGGGCAGAGGTCTGTGTGTTTCTCTCGGTCTATTTCCTCCAGTACCTGGTACAGGGCCTGGCACATAGGTGGGACCCAAGAAATGGCTATTGATTGAACAAGCACAGACTAAATGACTGCTTCAGGAGAAAACACATTCCCCACCACTGGAAGGATTTAAGCAGAATTTAGGTGGCCATGAGTCAGAGACACAGGAAACTCTTTTTCCTAACTGGTTCAAGATGTACAGGCTGCTGGGACAAGCAGACTTACGCTATGTGATGGTTCAATCACGAGACGGAGTTATTCAGGCTTCTGTGAAGTCTCAACTGGGTGCTCCTGATGGTAGGCAGCTCTTCACAGGGAGTGGTTCAGGAATGCAGTGGAGCCACGTTCATCCGGTGGCTCCATCCTCTTCAATAGGTGGCTGATTAGGTCACGGTGCTATCTGTGACCTATCTGGCAGAAGGACACGTGGACTCTGCTCACACGCTGCTGGCTGAAAGGCCATCATCATCTCTTATGGCAATGTCTGGGTCACAGCCCAGGGAAGAGAGGGGATGGGTTGGTTCCTGATTAGCCCGCTCTGCCATGCCCGCATAGGGCAGGAGATGGGAGCAGATGGCTTCTGGGAGCCTCTCCAATTTCCAGCATCTGTGTTTGAAGGCTTGTGTTTCCCTTTTGCAATAACTTCGCACTTAAGGGGAAGAAAGGTATTTGTCAATCTTCTTTCTTTTCTAGCTTTGTAATTCTTACCTCTTTTGCTCAAGAATTGCCTTAAGCATCTCTGGTGTGTCATTACGGATGGCGAAAACATTTGCTCAGACATTCATAAAAATGCCCACATCAGACAGGCCTGCCTAGCAATCCCAGCTTTCTCACTCCCCAGGCAGGTGGCACGAAGCAAGTCATCCAGCCTCTCTGTCCGTCCCTGTACCTTCTCCTCTGGAAACTTAGGAAAATTGTGAGGCTTAAAAGAGCAGGGACATGTGTCATTTATGGTGCATTTACACCAGGTTGTTGTCCAAAGTGCTTTATTTTTAACAACGTTTTTTTTTTTTTAAAGATTTATTTATTTTTTATACAAGAACTGGGGTACAGGCCAGATGCGCGGGAGGGTAAGAGGATTCACCAGAGACAGTGCGGGGAACAGAACAGGCAGACTGACGAAATACACTGCTGAGGGGAGCAGTGGGCGAGACAGGAGAGGTCTGCCGCACCATGTGGGATTCTCACCGGCCGGCCAGGATCAAATCCACACTGCAGAGGCTGCGGATAGCTTCACAGTATAGCGCTCAACTGCCTGCGCCACCAGGGAGGCCCTACTTTTTTTTTTTTTTTTTTTGGTGGGACCCTCGCCGGTGGCTGGGGAATGAACCAGCGCTGCAGAGGCTGCGGGCAGCCTCGCAACCCAGCGCTCAACCACTGCGCACCAGGGGAGGCCCGGGAGGCCCTATTTTTTAACATCTTTTTAAAGTTTTCACAGCAACTCTATGTATGAAGTAGAGACTATTGTTAACCCTGGTTTTATAGAAGCACTCATGGAATCACTGGGAGATAAAGCAGCTGGTCTGAAGTCGTGGAGCTAGTAGGCTGGGAGGGGGGATGTGGATGAAGTCACCCATTCCAGGTTCTACAAGGTACGTAATAGAGGGTAACTACCATGCATGACCCTGGGGATGCTTTTTTTGTTATTTTCTCCAGAGGCTGAGTCAGTGCTGGGCTTCCTTATAACCTTCATCATGACTTGGTTATACTTGATGGTTCTCAGCTTGAGAGCTCTTCACGATGACTCTGAGGTACTTTCACTGCAGTCCCTCTTTTATTGGGGATAAAAAAGAGCTCTGGAAGGCATGAGTCACTGGTTTGAAGTAACACAGGCAGGAACTGGTGGTGCTGGGTCTCAAACCTGACTTTTGACAAGGTCATGCCTGGTTCAATTCAAGTTAGTATTTGTTAAGCTCTTAGAAGGGTGTCTGGCATGTACAGTGTGATAAGGGTGTTTATTAAATAAATTAATTCAATTAATTATCACTCCTACTGACCTCTTCTCCAGTACCTGCTGCCATCTGGAAAGTGAGGGGTTGTGGCTATGAGCCTGGGTCTCTTGTCCTCCCCTACACCCGCCTGTGCCTGGTGTCCTCAGGCTGCCTCTAGGCTGGGCTGGCCTGTTCACTTTCTCCCCTTTTTCTGATATGCTCTTTTGGGGCAGCTCCCTGTGATCTGGACTCCTCCCCAGAGGAGTCCAAAACATTTTCTTGGCTCCTCATTGTTTCTGTTTTTAAGGCCTTTCTTGCTTCCATATCTGGGAAGCATCTTCTAAAAAGGTGTTGGCCACTAACAGAGAGGGTGTGCGCTAGCACCATTTCACGATTATTTACCTTCAAACAGGGGACTTCCATGAACCCCAAAGTGATGGACTTTCAGACATCTGCATAGGTCATTGGGGGGACATTTCTGGGAGAGAGGGCCTAAGTTGCACCACAGAAACTTATGCAGGAAGAGGGCCAAGGCTGCTCAGGGCTTTATGAAGCCCAGCTGACAAGAAGATGGACCATACTTCTCTTTCACTCCACCCCCTTCATAAAAGCTCTTCCTTCAGTTGTTTTAGAAGATTCCTAACATTCCTTGTCAAATTAGGCCTGAGATGATTTCTAACTCATGTTTCCAATGGAACAGATCCAGAAACTCCCAAACAAGGAGGAAGTTAAATTGAGAGCTGTACATATACTTAACAAGTTTTATTGAGCCTCTAATATGTGTCAGGTACTATTTGGGGCACCTGAGAAGGCAAGAACGAGCAAGGAAGCATGGCCTCCCAAGGGTGGTGGAACAGTCTGCCATTCAGACCTAAAGTAGGCACTTCTGAGGTTTGGTTATTTATTGTTGAGTTATAAGAGATCTTTACTTAGACTGAACACTAAGTCCTTATTAGCTATATGATTTGTAAATATTTTCTCCCATTCTGCATTCATTTTTACTTTCTTGTGGTGTCCTTTGATACATAAACATCTTTAATTTTGATGACATCTAATCTGTTTGCTCCCCCCACCACTTTGGTTCCTTGTGCTATTGGTGTCATATTCTAAAAATCATAGAAGATTATAAAGATTTAAAAAAAAATGAAGTGGGCACTGTACGAGGCGATACCCCAAAGTCTCATTGGGTTTAAGATTTGTGATCACACAGCATGACGACCTATTGTTTTGTAGTGCAAAAAGCTCCTTCCTTCTATACATAAAGAAATCATGAAAATAAGTTGTGTCTGAGACTTCCAGGTGTATCCAAAGAACCCTTCTCTCTGCTTCCATAGTAACAGATGCCTGGTTTACAGTTGGGTGTTTGGCTACACAGAATTAAGACTATGATCTTCATCTTTGTCAATGAGTATGGCCACATGACTAAATTCTGACCAATAAAATGTGAGCAGAAATGTGTGTGGCTTCTGGTCATGCTCTAAAGAGAAGTGGTGGGCCTCCCTGGTAGCGCAGGCGGCTGAGAGTTGCACTGTGAAGATGTCCTCAGCCTCTGCAGCGTGGGTTCGATACCAGCAGGCTGGTGAGAATCCCACAGGGTGAAGCAGGCCTCTCCTGTCTCTCCCGCTGCTCCCCTCAGCAGTGTATTTCATCAGTCTGCCTGTTTCGTTCCCTGCTCTGTCTCTGGTGAATCTTCTCACTCTCCCATGTATCTGGCCTATACCCCAGTTCTTATATAAAAATAAATAAATGTTTCAAAAAAATAAAAAACTAAGAGAAGTGGTGTGCTCCTACCATTTCCTCTTCTTACCAGATATGATGACGATGTGTTGATGAGCTGCTATTAGGATAGAGCAACCCCAACTCCCTAATCCCCAAGGCTAGTAGAGCAGCAACATAGAAGGAGAGCTGCAAACACCTTGTTTGTTACTGATATTTGGGTCCTCCCTGATAGCACCAAATTAACAACAATTAACAACAACAACAAAAAATTAAAGTTTCCTATTGTGATTAGTATCACAGTATTTTGATTCGTATTCTTTTGATTTGTATGGATATGTATTATTTTAAGTTTGTCAATTTTTACTTTAAGTCTTTGGAGGCATTTCATTAGGCATTTACATATTTATGATCACTGTGCCTTGATGAATGAACACTTTTCATCATTCTGAAATGTCCCTATTAATCTCTGGTATCACTTTCTAGCTCAAAATATGTTTAGTGCTAATTTACTATAGCCAGTTCAGCCTTGTAGCATGCAGGGTATGACCAACGATTCCATGAATGTACATAGTACAATCATTTATTTCCAACTTACACATGCCTTTATGTTTTAATGTATCACTTGCAGTGTAAAGACTTATTTTGCTTTTATTGCCAGTCTAATAATTTCTGCCTTTAGTTAGAGTGTTAACCCATTCATTAAAAAATAAATCTTACATTTAAAACAGTGTGAGGGAAGAAGTAAAACCATCTCTATTTGCAGGTGACAGGATAATATACATAGAAAACCCCTAGACTCTAGGCAAAATCTATTAGATATAATAAACAAATACAATAAAGTGGCAGGCTACAAAATTTATATAAAAACATGATGCGTTTCTATAAGCAAATAACGAAGTAGCAGAAAGAGGAATCAGGAAAATAGTCCCATTGACAATTTCAACAATAATAGTTAAATATTGTGGAATAAATGAAATCGAGGAAGTGAAAGACATAAACACTAGAAGCAATAAGACATGGTTTAAAGAAATAGAAGATAAAACAGAGATGGAAAGATATTCCATGCTCAAGAAATGGAAGAATTAACCATTTGTTAAAATGGTTATGTTACCTAAAGCAATTTACAGATTTAATGTAATCCCCATCAAAATTGCAAAGTTGCTCCTCACAGAAATAAAAAAAAACTCATGAAATTCATTTGGAACTATAGAAGATCCTGAATAACAAAACAATTTTTAGAAAAAGAACAAAAATGCAGATATCACACTCCCTGATTTCAAAATATACTAAGAAGTAATAGCAATTAAAACAGCATTGTATGGAATAAAAACAGACACACAGCTCAATGGAATGGAATTGAGAGTACAGAAATACAACCACACACACATGGGCAACCAATTTATGATAAAGAGTCAATAATAGACAGTGGTGGAAGAGGTGTCTCAATAAATGATGTTAGGAAAATGGGCAGACACATGCAAAAGAACGGAACTAGGCCACTAGTTTATACCATATACAAAAATTAATTCAAAATAAATAGACTTAGATACAAAACCTGAAACCATAAAATAAAATACATAGAAGAAAACATAGCGACATGCTTCGTGATATTTAGCCTTAGAGATGTATTTAGGGACTTGACTCCAATGACAAGGGAAACAAAAATGAAAATAAACAAATGGGACTACATTGAAATAACAAGCTTCTGTACAGTGAAAGAAAGTTACATCAAAGTGAAAAGATATCCTATCAAACAGAAGATATTTGTGTACTGTATGTCCAATAAGGAGTTACTATGCAAAATATCTAAATAATTCATAAAATTCAAAAACAAAAAACCAACCAGCCTGGTAAAAAAAACGTACAGAGGATCTGAATAGCTACTTGTCCAAAGAAGACATACATATGATCAATAGGCACAAGAAAAGATGTTTATCATCTCTTATTAGAGAAATGCAAATCCAAACAACAAGGTATCATTTCACATGAGCCAGAATGG